AAATGCTGGCGCAGAGCCTGGAATATCTCGCTGCAGACAAATCGGAGACCATAGGGCATTTTATGCACTTGCTCTTCCAAAGACGAGAACAGCTGGTCGCAAATCTCTCGCAGGTCTCGCAAATGGTCGATGAAGAGGCGTCGCGTCTCCGGATCGCGGATGGCAACTTCGCGGGGAACGTCTAGAGGCCGGTGATCGGGCCTTCCTGTCCGCAGCTCCTCATTGTTGATGGCAGATCGGTAAATTTGCATAGGGTCACTCTCCAGATCGAGTGCCGGGTCTTCAATGATGTTGTCGCGAATCAAGGGTCCCAAGAGAGACCGGAGATACTTGCGATCCCGGGGAGACCGTGTGTAATTAGCAAGCAGCTTGGTCCAAAAGTAATGACCTCGAGAGTACTCCAACGCGCTCGTTGTGCTTTCAACCTCCTCTCGTATTGATCGGGCAATCAGCTTCAAAAGGTAGTACTCCTCTCGTCGCTTCTGGGCGTAACCAAAGAGGCTCATCATAAGAAGCTCAATGCGCCTGCTGTCCTTTTCAGCCGTCACCTGCACGCGAATGTGCTTGAACAGGCGGGCGAGATAATGGGGCTGCGTTTGAAGACTGAAGAACAGCTGCTGGTAAGACTCCAGCTTCTTTCGGGAGCTCTTGTTGAGTGCCTTGAGATCAAATTGGTTGGTTGACGCGATGGTAGAGTTAGCCAGCAGACCCATCGAGGTTCCGCCAAACGTGTGCTGATGTCTCACGACTTCATCGAGAGTAATCTTATTTTTGACCAGGAGAGCAATTTTGATATCCAGTTGATCAATGTATTGCTCCAACATCTCATTCTGCCGGACGTGCTGGACCACCGTCTTCCGCATCCGCTCAAACTCGACTTCTTCATTGAAGTCAAAGTCGCTGTCGTTGAGCAGGTGCACAAAGTTCTTGACAGCGCTGACGGGCGGGTTTTTGCCCGTAGTAAGGCTCTTGTAAGCCTCGCCTTGCACTTTGGCACGTACAAAACTCTGGATCTTGATAACCTTTTTCATATTCTCCTCGTAAAATCGTTTCTTCTCCTCGAAGCGAAGTCGAACGAGGAAAGCCTTGGCAGCTGCTTGGAAAATGACAATGGAATCTTCTTCCTCAAGGAGCTCAGTAAGTAGGTCGTCAATTCTTGCACGCTCCATCATGGCCTTGAGGATGGCTTGGAACTGGGCGGTCTCTGCATCATGGGATGACAGCTCATCTAGCAAGGCATAGTGATATTGACGGCATAGGAAACCTCGGATGTGGCTTTGCAGGTCGATGATTGCAGGTTCTTCAGCATCAAGTTGGTCCTGAATTGCCAACACCTTGCGCCTCTCAAACATGGCCCTAATATGTGCTTGGAGTTCAATAACGGCAGGCTCGTTATCTTTCAGGTCGTCAAGACGGGTTGTGATTTCTCTCCTCGCGGCGGCAGCTCGCATTGCAGCCTGAAGTTGTCCAATCGCGGGTACATGTTGGGCCAGCTCGGCCTTGAGAACCTCTTGTTCATCTCGGGCAGCGCGGCCGCGGATCGCACTTTGTAAGGAAGTGAATACGTCTGTGAAGGAGTGAAGATTTTGTTGTTGCTGTTCGATTCTTGCCCGGACCAGTGTAGCCCTGACGGCGGCTTGAAGGCTAGCAACCATTGGGGTGTGCTCCTCAAGTTGGCGTAGGTCTTTGCTGATCTTGTATCGCGTCAGCATTCCCCTGGCAAGCGCCTGAAGATTTTGGACTTCTTTGGCGGCCTTCTTTGTCTCCTGCTGCTGCACATTTTGAGATTTACGGAGCAGAAAGCCCTTGGACATGGCCTGAATTGCCCTAATCGGGGCATCGCAACGAGACAGCGTAGACTTGAGACCTTGCATCTCGTTACGTGCCTTTTGTGCTCGAAGCATGCTCTGGAAGGCCAAAATAGCAGGCTCTGCAGCTTTCCTGGCTTGGTCACTCTTCTTGAGCCCCCTCCGGACAAGGAATCCGCGGACAAGGCTCTGGACGAGAATGGCGGATTGTCTCATCTGCATTCGATAGTTCATAACCTCGCGGGTAAAGTTGCCTCGTATCCTTGATTGCAGGTCAATGAGCCACTGCTCCTCATCCCAGAATCCTTGCATCATCTCTCCAAGCTTCAGTCGGAGCAGCGCGCCACGAAGCTGTGCCTGGAAGTCGATGATGACATCTTCGTTCTCTGCTAATTCGCGCTCGATCCTCTCCTCTTCAGTTTCTTCGGGCTCCGGCTCTGGTTCCGGCTCAGGAACGCCGAAATCAGCCCCCATGTTGCCAAAGCTGGGCATGTTAACTCCAAGCATATCCAATCCCTTTTGCATTGCCTCCAGTTCATGATGCTCGAATTCCAGCTGACCGATGAGGTTGCCGATGCGGAAATCAACAATTCCTTTGCGAAAGAGGAGCCAACTTAGAGCATGAATGCAGTAGATGACTTTGGGAATATTCTTTTTCTCGTAGAGATCTATAAGCTCAAAACGGAAGAGGTCGGGTAGCTCCACTTCATCCAGGTATCGAAAGAAAATGGCGATATTGTCAGAGTGTCGGAACTGCAGCTTTGGGTTTCTGAATATCCGAAAACGTCGCTCGGGGTTTAGAGATTCTACCACTTCTGCCAGCGTAACGCCATCTCGCAATGCCTCCTCCAGCTCAACAATGGGTGGGAGAGTCTGCTGGATGACATCTTCGATCCACTCCTTGGCTTCACCAATATGGCAAAGGTATTCGTACGCCTGAAGGAACCTACGCTGCTTGTCCATCCAATTGCGCCCTTCCCATCCATAGTTTGTCTTGGCGCGGCCAGCTGTCTTATCGGTACGCTGCAGCCTACGCCGGCCTCGGAGTCCAACTACTTCCTGTGCAGGCGAGTTGATTTTGAAATCCTCCGGGTCCTCGGATTTTGCAAGCTGTGAGAGCGTCCGGAGTTGGCTTGTAGAAGATCGACCCAGCCGCTCAAGATCAGGGCGTGCTATATGAGCGCTGTGGGAGTGAGAATGGCCATGATGCGTCGGCGCCATGACTGCATCCTCTGGAATCGCAGGCTCTCCTCGAGACATGTACATGGAGTTTGGCCGTGCTGGCAGAGGTCGCGAAGGCACAGTGGGCGAGGCGACGCCATCGTTTTGGGACAGTGACAATCGGCCAATGTCTATGCTCTGGCCTCTCTCGCGCGGCTGCTTGGAACCGTGAGGTGGTGTCGCTGGGGCTTCGATGGAAGAGGCAGTTGGGGTTCGCGGCAGCGGGCGAAGCGATTGCCGGACTGAGCCATATATGTTATCCTGGCCTCTGCCAGAACCGGCGCCGCTCGAGTCGCCAGTCTCAAAGAGTCGTGCTCTGGATATGACATCGCTCTGGCCGCGCTTGTGGCCAACTGATCCGTAAATGCTACTTGCGGACGTGGACTGGCTATGGACGCTGTGGTCAGAGGTGTAGGAGTAGCCGGAGGATGCCGATGACGTTGTTGAGTTGTTGCGATTGATGTTGGAGTTGGCGGCAGACAGATCGATGGCGTGGGAGTCTCGTCGGGGACTATTTCGATACGACGACATGTTGGCGGATGCTGTCTCGCCCAGTAGGGCTGAGGTTAGAGTAAGCACCTATACCGCGTCTCTGGTTGTGTTTTTGCTGGGGGGTATTAGAAAACTCTGTGCAGCGCTATCAAGACATCCTTCCTGCGACGGCTGGAGGTTCAAGATGAAAGGAATGCGAGCAACCGGCGCGAGGCAAGACAGATAGACTTTTAAGACATGCGCGTGGGGAGGGCCCAGTGTCAACAAAAGGAGCCGCTGGTGTGTGTGCGAGTCCGAGTTTGAGCCCAGATGCCGCTCCAGCAATGCGGATGCCGTCACAGATGGATGTTTGGTTTCTTTTCTTGATTTTCCCGCCGACTAGCAGCAATAATATTTACCTGTGCTAGCAGCTACAGTAAGTACCTGGAAGCGCCGGCAGAGCAGGGGATAACCACAGCGCGGGGTCTGTGTTGCATTAAAGCTGCATTGCCGTTGGGCAGCGAATGTAAACAAACAGCCGGGACAACCGCCTAGCAACGCTGGCTTTGGGGCTGTGTCATTGGCTGAGATGGCCCGATGTCTCCAGTTTTTACCAGCGCGGCGCCCTCAAGGCCGCTGTAAGCCATGCTTGCTTTGCTTGCTTGCATTATGCACATGCTTCTGCAGGTAAATCACGAGGCAAATCTATCTAAAACGATGGAGTAGGGATCCGATATGACGATTTTAATGACAGAGTCCAAGCTTCCCGGCGTGATTCTGGAATAGGGGTGGGGAAGATGATTTTCTCGGTTGATGCTCCTGAGTTCCGGACAGGGTTGGAGAACTACGACTAGGTGCCTTTACACACACGAACCTGCTCAAATACCTGTTGAATATGTACATCAGGATGTCCTGCAGAAAGGGATAAGAGTTTGCTGGACAAGTTCCAATCTAGAAGCATCGCAAAGGTATTCAAAGCATGTGCCCGACCCTATATACAAGCATAACGGCAAATCCCCCCTTAGGCAGCCAATCGAGACGCCTTCAACTCTAAAACCAGCGGCCTATGATCTCACCAAACTTACGGTGTGTTTCATGTGCTATTGGCCAACATGACACCGACCAGGTGTAGCTCAAAGATTCCCAAAGACATTCAATCCACTCCCAGCCGGTGCCACTTTTCGTAGGTACGCGCCGGGACCCATATGTATAAGTTGCCTCTAAAACCATAGACAGGAAATATCCATCCGTAAGAAGAGATTTTGCCATCGAATAAATAGTTGATTCTATTATAGGCTGTCATCCCTCGTCTCTCGTCTCAGTAAGGTGCGCCTGCTAGAAGTTGGAAAGTAGCAAAACATGTAAATTCCTCGCAGCTCCAGGGTAGCTCTGGCTAACGGTAAAGCATAAACATGTGCATGTAAAATTGGGGCTGCACCAAGTATGAGGTCACCATCGCCGCTAGTAGCAAAGCTGGCGACCTCTCGTCAAACTTTCAGACGCGGCTCAACTTTGCACAGCAATTGAATTGACGGCTCCGTGTCTTTCGCATCTCAGGGGAATCGGCCGCTCGCATCACTTCATTGCATAGAGGAGGCAGGAAATCGTCTTTGTATCCGCCATAGCCGCGTCGGTGCCCATCATGTCGGCCAAGCAACAGAGACCTTCCGTCCTGGTACGTCAGACAGCCATCGAGCTCAGAAGCGCTCAATTGATTGATGCAACGAATTGCCATTAACTGACTATTTTTCGAACTAGGTCACGGATGCAAGAGAGAGGGCGGACCAGCGACGATCGCCACGGCGCCCGGGCACATCGTCTGGTGCCCCTGGACGGACGCCGATGCGATTCATGACGGTTGACAACATTCTCCAGCACGACTCCCAGATTCCTTCGGGCCAGCCTCGCGGGCCACCGATGCCAACACAGAGGCCGCATACTTCTGGCGGCCTTCCCTCGGGCAACCGACGCATCACAGCCGGCGGCCTGCCAAACCTCCCATCTCGCACCGGCAAGCCGATCCCCTCGCGAACTACTAAAATTAGCGAAAAGCTCGTCCTGCTGCCTGTCACCGATGAACGGGATGAAGAAGACGAGGAACTTGAGGGAGAGGCAGCGATCAATTTGATTTTACAGGATGATACACGCAAGCCGTTGAGAGACGAGGAGCTGGATGTGCTTCGGAAAAGGGGCGGTATCCGTGGCAAGAGTTATGCAGAACGGCTACCCAAAATGCAGAGGACGGACAAAGTCAGTCGACTGACGGCATACTGCACTGCGCAAGCGTTCAAGACGAAAGAGACGGCGGAATTTTTGAGGAAGAAACATGAGGCAAAGACCAAGCTCTATGATGATTGTCTTTATGCCATATATGCCCTTCCGCTGATGAACGGGATTGAAGGCTATAGAGTACGCAGTCGACCGATACTGAAGACGCCCGGAACAGGAAAAACTGTGCTGGACTTGGAAATTGAGCGTAGCGAACAGCGAGATCACCACGAGGGTTATTTTGACCACGACGCCTATACTTCTGCTTCCGAAGACTCTAGCAATGGCCAGAGACAGCCTTCTGCGTTTGCCGACCCTTCTTCACCGCCCAGCGATGGCCTTTTGTCACCGCAAGGCTCATATCCTCCCATCGACGACGGCATTGCCTCCCATATGAGTCGCCTCGCGCCTGATGCAAAGAACTTTGCAGAGATGTTCGTCTTCTCGTACGGAGTGGTTGTGTTTTGGAATTTTACGGAGCACCAAGAAAAGGACATTCTCGCGGATCTTACCTTTGCCGATGCTGAGGACGGTGTCAACCTGCTTTCACGACCCTTGGACCAGGGCGATTACGAGACTGAAGAATTCCATTTCGAATATAGTCCCGATGTGCAGCGGCCGCGAATATTCAACGACATGATTACGTTGCTGCCTCGATCTGATCATATGATCAAGTTGACCATTAGCCACGCAATTGCGCAAAGTACCAAGCTGTGCTTTTTTGAGGAGAGGATGAGCGAGACAATGCTTGATGCGCAGCACGTCCCCAAGACACTGGCTTTGACAGGAGAGCTAGGCATGACCAGGGCTGAAATCGTCAAGATCATGGGCCGCCTGTTTAAGAGCCGCGTGGATATTAATCTTTGTATGTGCATTCTCCTCCCGTTACCTATCTGCCTTGAGTAGGAAACTTTAGCTAACGTGCCGTAATAGCATCAAATATCCTGGATGTGCCCAATTTCTTTTGGGATTCTGAGCCTACTCTGCATCCATTGTATGAAGCTATCCGCGAGTACCTCGAAATCGACCTTCGTATCAAAGTCCTCAACGAGCGTTGCCGTGTATTCCTAGATCTCGCAGAGATTCTCGCCGACTCGGATGCCGATGCCAAGATGAGCTACATCACATGGATCATCATAGCTCTTATCGTCTTGAGCATCCTCGTCACCGTTACTGAAGTGGGCCTACGCTTCGCCATGCTCGAGAAGAGCAAACGCAATGATGAAGAGGGCGGGAACAACGGAACTAAATGCTCTGGATCTGACGTGACGTGGAGCACTAATGGCAACCCTGCTATGCTATCGATGCCGGTTGACGGGACAAAACATGCGGCCTTGGGCTCGAGCGATCTTGAGGTGTTAGCCCGCGCTCTAGGCTTGGAGGACCAGGCCACGTTTGAAGATGTAAGGCGTGGCATCTGGCATCTTAGACAAGGCAGCGGCTCGGGATCGCGGTATGACGGTCAGATGGAAGACGTGGATTGATTTGATTTGCTTGTGCGGACTTGTGTGAAAAAGGATTGATGGTGCCTGCGGTTTTTCGGGCTGCCGGGCTTTGCAGCTCTCCGTACCTCTTCTGGCGTTGTGTTTACTTGCCTACTAATATGCAGAATTTTATAGGTGCATTATTTATTCTCTTGAGCTGTCTGTAAAATGCAGCCTAGACATTTGGTAGCGATGGATGAATTTCATGGAGTTGGGCTGGAGGTCTATCAGCGTTTGATAGCTTTTTAATATAGTACAAAACCGTTATAATACTGATGACCCATGGGCATACAGAGCACATTACAAGACACCATTACATGTCATCTATACCGCATATCCAGCTACACTGCATCTAACAAACCACACGCTGTGAATATATACATATTTAACATACTTCATACAATCTATGTAACACAGCATCACCATCATCAGCCCTACGAACCAACAAACTAAAAACAACCCGCTAACAAATACCAGAAAATTCTACAGTACACCCCCATCGCACCAAACAATCCCCGTCCCTCCGACCCCTTATCGGCACCAATTACGCAAGCCCCTCCCCAATTCCCAATTTTTCCGGGTTCCATGAAGAAAAACTTCCCTCCCGGCGCGTCCAACAACAAAAGACAACCCCCCAAAAAGGAGAGGGGCCATTTTTGGAGCCCTTACGCTAGTTTTGAAACCCGTTCAATAGCTCGTCGCGCTCATGCAGGTGCAAATTGCATTTTGGTAATTGTGGCGTTTTCCCATCTGCCGATTCCCGGCTGAGATTATCACGTCCATTAAGATGCAAGCGTCGGTATTCTCTAATTCTTTCGAGTTTCTCATCTATTTCATATATGTATCGCGTAGAACCGCATAATGGTGCTGTTATAAGAAAATAGAAAAAAGGGTGAGAAAAAATAACCAATATTAAACGCGAAAAAAAAGAGTCATGCCCCAAGCTATCCTAAAGACAGTTTTTTTCTTGTCGCACAACACCCGCTGATACACAAGTTTCTTTTGTTGCGTTGCCAGTTTCACATCTCCCTAACGCCATGTCCCGTCTGATGGTGACAACTTTCGCAACCCACTAATATATCTTCCTGTAGCTGCCGACGATCGACAGCGAATAGACAAATGTGTATATTAAAACATGGCGCCCGTTCAGGCGTCAGAAGCATCTCCGTCTCGCAGCAAGGTGATGAGCGGGGGCTGGTTTCTTAACCCCACCGATTACTTGAAGCGCGTTTCTCAAATATCCATCTTCGTAGTATATCATCAATTAAAGAAAAAGAAAAGGGATATGCCAAAATTTTAAAAGGGTTGAGTAGCCAAATGGTCGCTACCTCTGCTCGGTGGGCTTGAAGGCGGCCTCCTGCTGCTTCTTTCGGTTTTTGTTGTCCAACTCGGCCTTGCTGTAGATGGCGGCGCCCACCATTGTGACGGCCATACCCGATCCATTGAGGAAGTCGACAGAGACGTTGAACAGGAAAATGCCGATCATGACAGTCAAACACTGCTTGAGGTTACCGCAGACAGTCATGGTAAGAGCACCGGCCAATTTGTTGGTGTTGAAGGACGAAATGTTGAGAAGAAGTGCCAGGAAACCGTTGCCGGCCAGAGAAGCAGTTGCAGGGACAATAGAAATATCGCCGGTCCTGATAAGCTCGCGGAAGCCAGCCACTTCACCAGTAGCCGTGGCGCAGGCCAAAGCCTGGAGCGCAGCAAGGGGAGACATGCGCATAAGGAACTCGACGGGCGGGAGGGCCAGTGAACCGGTCATGAATCGGTTGGTGACGACCGTCTGGTACACGTGGTTAGCCTTATTCATTCCAGTGAAACTTGAGACATGTTCAAAACGTACCTTGAGAGCGGCGAGGACGACACCCAAAATGGTTAGGATGAAGCCGGCATCCGAGAAGCTCATTTCACCGGCGGTGGTCATGGCGGCACCAATGATTAAAGGAATGAGAGACATGTATGTCATTGTGCTATATGTTCGGCCGTACCACACGCGGAAGATGATGATGGTGAAGATTGGGCAGAGCATGCGCATCGTCTGGTAGAAAGGAACGGAAACCATGGCGAGGGAAAGGTTCGAGACGGCAATGTTGGCGGTGAACAGGGCGCTGAATGCGACGAGGGCAAGGTTCTCGCGACGACCGAGGCGTGATAGCTTGAAATAGCCCATCTGCAGCATGGCATATGTTCCGAGACTGGCGAACAAGGTGTGGAGGAAGGTCAACAGCCATGGGAAGTGAAACTACATTTGCGAAATCAGTATTAGTACCCAACAGAGAGCAAACGTAGACCGAGATGATCTAGGTAGGCGAGAGCCATGGACATACCACGCCGAGAACAAGTTTGTTGTAGAGCGTCAAGATGAGAGAGAATAAAAAGTAGGTTCCAAGCCAGGTGAACTTGACGGCGCTTGGTATTGAGTATTCATGGTCAATGTTCTGGTCCTTGGATTCACTCTGGATCTTTCCGGACTCAAGATCGTGCTTGAGATCCTGCTCGTCGGGAGACAGGAGAGCGACGTCTTGGGAGCGCCTAGACATGATGGCCGAGTTGTTGTCGTTGCAACGTGGTGTGCGAGGTTGAGGTTTGGAGATTACGTATTGCGCTCAAGCGGCTTAAAGTAGCCCTGCCAGCATAATTCAGACAAGCTGAAACGGGGGAGAACTCGGTAGTGGATTGCCGGCCGGATCTGGGAAGGCTGACGGACCGGGAGAGCAAGAGAGGAATACGAAGGAGTCGCGTGCGGAGTGCTCGTATACAGTCTAATTCGTAGGGCAAAAGGTTGTAAGAGAGCAAGAAAGCGAGGCGAGCCGGCCGGTAGACAGACGACGCCTTGAAACCTACAAGACAGGACAAAAAAAGCGTAGGCGGGGTAGAAGAGCGAGCGACAACCTAGAAACGCAAAAGACGCAGTGGACAAGCTCCTCGACGGGTGCTTTTTCTTTTGCTGTCTCTCCTGAGAAGTAGATGGGAGGTGGAGGAGGGGAGGAGCAGGATGGCTTGCGTACGGAGGAGGAAAAGTGGCGTGGACTGTGAGATTGAAGGTTCAGGTTGGAGGCATTGCGTGCACTAGTCGCTGCGCGGAAAGCCTGGGAAATAGGAGCGAGCAGTTAGCACTGGGTCGGCTGGGGCTCGCTAGCGGGTTTGCGGAGCGCTAGAGACGCCTGGACGGAGCAGCTGGGGGCGCTGTGGCTGCTTGCGTCTGTGCGTGCGGCGAGGACAGCCGCACTGTGCGAGACTTTGAGCCCACACGTGGTGAAATTGCAGAATTGAACTTTAATGTCCTCTGCAGCGGGAAAAGTGAGACTTGGTGCTCCGTAAACTGCACAGTACAGCTTGATTCCACCACTCATCCATCGCAGAATCCGTCAATTGCAGGGCAACGGGGATGTTGGAGCCCGGGCATTCGAAGGACTTAATCAGGGGGGCAGCTTGGCGGCGTTGATTGGCGAGGATGGGGATTTTCAACCAATCACTGGTAGCTTGGCAGATGATTGATTTCGGGACTGTCGCCATACAGTGGCCAGCAGCGAATGGCGAGCCGCGGCAGAGGGAGCTGAGCCTGGGATAACAGGGGGGCTGGCCTTGGAAGTCAGCGCTGGTGTCTTGGCGAAAAGGGCTGACTAAAACATCTCGACGGAGGACTGCGGGAAGATTTTTGTGCTGCGGGTGGTTGATTGTTGGGCTGATGGATGCTTGGAGGACCGGAGTCTGTATGTGATTTTCTGATGCCGGTTCCGAGCGTGGTTGGGCCACCGGAGGTGACTGAACATGTTACGAGGCCCAAATATAAAACGATGATTAATACCAGGAACTAACATCAATACGAGAGAGCAGGAGCCTGGATAGGCAGTACTGGAGAAAATCACCATTGATAGGTATGTAATGCTACTATATCTCTTCGTATACGGAGTAGAATATTCCGTCTATACGTGCTGTGTTGCTGTATTACCTCTTGTTGGCGGGCAACGAGGTTTTAGACAGATCGTCAACGGAGACAAGGAGGATTTAATGCCAGGTCCAGGCAACATGAAGTTTATCCCCGATTCATCAAAGTATGTGCAAAACCCTCATCAATGATAGGTAGCCGTTGGACGGACACCAACAAGACACGCAGTGCAAAGTGCAAAGCCACCAGATCATCGGGGCGCAGTCGTACCTGTAAGATTTCGCCAAGGCTAAAACCCCTGTCCTTTCTGTAATGCGTGCTAGACTCCGTGTGTTTTTCCAGCGTTGCGCACGGAGCTGGGCTTCTGACGATGCCTTCAACTCGTTCCGGCGCACATACGTCATGATGTACGTGCAGTCTCAATTGAAGCAATTCAGATGGCCTGTAAGGTACTACTGCAGTGACGCTCTGCGAGGCAAAAGCTTAAAGACAAATTTCAGCTGAAAGGTGTTACAAACACGTCAACAGAGATGTGTGCGTACATGTACATTTTGCCTCTTCGGCACAATAATCTCCGAAACAGCCGACGTCGCGGACCGTAAACCAGCCATCCTCCGACAGACAGATAGTCGACATTCAACGCTCGAATTTGCATTTGAATGTCGGATGGGCGAGAAAGAGATGTAAGAAGAATTGCTCTCAATGTACGGTCTATGGAGCCTGCAGGAGGGATCGCCAGATCTGCAAAATGTCAACCTGCCGGATTGGACCATCTCCCGAACCCTTTTGCGGTGATTGGCGTCTGCTAGCCCAGGTACTAAGTTTGAGGGTCTGAGTCTCATGAACTCAATGTCAAAATGCCAATGCCTTTGTAAATCAGCTGGCGTGAAGATTTGTACCTACATTTAACAGAAATCACAGAGTGCAGCACATTGGAGCATTTTGACAGCTGATTGCTGCTACACAGCGGCTGCACTTGTATTACTCCGTAGTTTACTCCGTATGCTTGAATACCTATCTGCAACGGCACGGGTATCAGGTCTTGGTACTCGTACATGTACGTAATTGAACAAGGAAGTTAATGACGCGATTGCCGATGAATTTGGGTGCATATGATTTCATGCCGTCTTCCCAGCAGCCTGTTAGTGGAATCAAACGTCAGAATACGGTCGCTTCCATACGGAAACACTTAAATATCCACGACATCACAGATAAGAGATAACATCAATTATCTAGGTAGACTGTGTCAAACGATGCTTTCGAAATGCTTCGCCCGCACCAGTATCAATCTGCCTGTGTCGCCATCGCTTTTCCTGCTTGAGTGTTGATATCCTACCTAGCCTCCACTCTTTATGAAATACCAAGAATACAAATTCATATACCATTCAATTTTTTTTCAACATGTGATTCCATCGAAACATCACAAATACTCACTTTCCATTCTACCTCGGGGTCCAGCCAACCCAGCACTTGGCTAAAGACATCAATTGCCGTTACTGAATATAACCCAGGTCTCGGAACGCTCTGCCCAGAATCTCTCGGATACAGTCATTCTTTCGCTCAGTGTATTCATGCATTGTCTCGCCAGCGGTACGAGTTGCCTCCGCCGCCTCCCTCTTCACCGCAGCATACATCTCCTTGTCAGCCGGAGTTTTCGAAAGCCAATTTCGAAAGATCTTATGCTTCTCGGTTTCAGGAGAGTCTGGCCCAAAGACGTGCAGGTTCGCTGAAGGCTCATAGTTGCAGAAAAAGCGATGTTCATGCCACGCCGGCTCGCGTAAGAGAAAATGGAAGCCTACTGCCTCGAGCTGCAGCACGTATGAGGCCTCGTCAAGCACGTCCACGACGATGAGATCTATGTCGATGACAGGCTTGGCTGGCAGGCCGGCCACGCTGGTCGAGCCGACGTGCTCAACTGAGACGGCTGTTGAACCTAGGGCGGAGATGATGCGGTCTTTGAGGATCTGGAAAGACTGGGGCCAAGACGGATCTGGTTCGGTGATTTCAATTTCGTTTTTGATGCGGCGGTGGGCGATTCTTTGTACGCCTTCTGGTCCGTATGGATACTCTTTGATGATGGCCTCGATTGAAGGAGCCATGCTGAGTCTTGATCCTGACAGACACGAGAACTGCAGACGAGTCCGTATTCACCCGTGCAAGTGCTCAAATATGACAACTTGAATTTATCAATTGACCTGCAACCTCAATCAAAAGGTAAAAAATCGTGCTCCGTTAAAAGATGAAGAGCGCTATGTTGCAACTTATAAAAGATGGAGCCCAAGATCTACCACCTTGGAATAACGCTAGAAGCGCCTCAGGTTTAGAAGGATCAATAGCGGCGAGTGAGTCACTTCACCGTAGGTAACTGCAACTATAACTACAACAACATCAACGACATCAACATAAAAACTGCATTCATGCGTTATGCTTGCCTGTTATAGTAAGGTAGAATCCTATTTCACCTTTTCTACATCTCTAAATAAAAAATAAATAACCCAATTTCGTCTCCCCATGGCTTAGTTCCACCGTCATCCAATACACACTAACCTTTGCAGGTTCATCTACAAAGTGTCTTGCATACAGCAGCACCCAGTCTCCCCAAAGCATCGACAATTCCTAAGTGCCCCAAAAGAGCCCTTGTTCGAAAAGATTGGTTACCGAAATTCCCGAAAATCATCTATGTAGGGGCCCTGAATCATGAAAGTGAGATAAAAGTGCACTACCCTTATATTAGCGTCCCGAGCATTCTTCAAAAAGGAAAACCCACATGAAGATCCAAACTGGGGGGATCCATCACCTCACCTAACGTTGAAACTGCAAAACTCCCACAAGTGGATCGGCAGGAACTTATATCACGAGCGCGTTCCCTTGCAAGTTACATGTACACAGTATACCTATACATAGAACATTGTTGATAACCTCGATAACATGGTCCCTATAAAAAAAGAAAAAGATCGACCACCGACGATCATCTTACCGTCTCAAAGTCGCACTCGCCGAATATGAGACTCCATCAAAGTCCATCTTTTCAAGGCTGACGCCATCACCTCATATGTTTTATCTTTTTCTTCTTTTTCCCTCCCTTCTTCTTCTTGAGATCTAAATGTCAATGTGTCTGTGACCTTCCCGTTTATCTCTGTCTCACAGGCCGCTTTGTGCTTTGGTCCTGCCACTCCTTTCGTCTTCTTGTTATACATGTGCTTTGCACTACGCTCCAATCCTTTAGTATTTTATTATCTGTCCTGAAACGATTCCTATCTCCTCTCCTTTTTTCTTCCTAAGCATTCTCTTATTCTATTTGATTCTCTTGTCGCGCGGCCCCGTGGTGGTCGATATTATCACCAACTAGCATGATTGTTACATCTCGCAGGCGACCGACCTTATTCGTTGTCGCATTGATTACTTTATTCCTCGCTATAACCTTTTGCTACCATTCGTACACCGATAATGTATGTCGTTTCTTTATGGCTCCCGTGTGATCGCTTAGAGCTGACGTCGACTGCCGCCAGGAGGCACTCATTGCTTTGTTACCATATAGCGCTAAATTCTCAAACTCTACAATATCAACTTCCCTGATCTCACTATCTCTGCACTCCTCTCAGCCTCAAGAATCAGATTCTTCCCCAAACCCAAGAACCTCGAGGCTACATTATCTCATTCCAGCCAGCCTACCGAATCTGCATTTCTGCTATAATCTTGTTTCCTCGGCAGTCAACCGCTACCCAGTTCCTACACTACTTGGATGGCATGGAGTTGACGAATTTGACGCAGCAAATACTCACCTAGCAAAATTGCGCGCCATGGAACGATATTTCAACTCGCTTCCATCTGCAGAAGACGATGACTTGGCAATCATAGTCGATGGCTACGACATTCTCATCCAGTTACCTCCAGAGATCATGATCGAGCGATACTTTCAGATTGCCGAGCGTGCTGATGCTCAGTTAGCAAGCCGCTTTGGCGTAAGTGTCCGCGAGCTTCACAAACGCGGTCTTCGCCAGACCATCTTTCTGGGACCCGACAAAATCTGCTGGCCCATCGATCCTCTGGCGCCTCGTTGCTGGGTTGCTCCCGAATCACCTATTCCGCGGTCCGCCTGGGGACCGAACAAAGGAGATTGGGAGATAATATATTCCGATCCTCGATGGCTCAACTCGGGAACCATCATGGGGCCGATTGGTGACCTGAGGAAATATATCGCCGCCACCATGGACGAAATCACGGCGACGCATGATCCTGCGTATGAGTTTAGAGAGTCGGATCAGTACTATCTCTCTAATGTCTGGGGAAGGCAGGAATACTGGCGCTCGAGGGTGATGAAGGGCAGAGCCCCGGCAGGTCCACCAGGCAGGATCATCCCGGTTAAAAATAGTCCTTTTCAGAAGACTGAGTATCACGTCGCCATCGAGTACGAGTCCGCCCTGTTCCAAACCAAGGCTGGATATGAGCCTTATTTTGGATATCTACAGTTCAACGAATCCGATTTGACAGCTAGACTTACCGCTGACATCCTCCAGGAAGGGTCTGCGTTTGAGCCTTCTGCGATAAAGATGCCTGAGAATATTGCTGCCTCGCTGAGCAAATTGTATAACGCCATCCCGGAGGCTCATCCTGGATCTACATCGGAAGACTGGCTAAGCATTGTTCAACTGGGCGTCAACTTCATCACAAATCATATCTATGGCCTGTGGCACTGCACAGGACCCAAAGACTTCGTTGGGCTTGAGTATCCTACTCTATGGTTCTACCCCTTTGTCAAATCCCTACTCAAGGCAGCAGTTAAAGCGTCCCAAGCCGGTGAACCCCTGACGCAGAAACTCATTGACGGTCGAAAATGGGCTCCCAAGAACTATTATCCCACCTCTGCTGATTTGAATGACGAATTTGGCGGGGCTTGGTCAGATTTGAATGACGAGTTTGTTCCTTGGCGAGATCTTTGTCAACCTCACAATGAGGTGCTATTCCAAGGGGAAGAGAAAGGGTCTGAACTACATCTAGGTAGTCTCTGAGGATGGCTAAAGTTTGGATAAGGGGGGATATAAATACAAGGTATGGTTTGGCGTCTTTCACATGGAGTTTGGCCAAAGGGATTCTTTCTATAGACAGTTCGACAAGGTTTCTGGTGTATGGCGTTTGGGTAGGTATTGGATTTGCGTTATTGCATTGAAGAAAGATTGTACATTGTGGGATACGGTTTGGTGGAGGTAGCAACAGAAGAGATAGATGTGAGCGGCGTTGCATTTCAATACCCATTTTTCATCAAAGGTGCTCACTTAGACAAAATGAGATACTACGGCACTCTTAATGCACTCTTCAATCAAGAGACAAGACAAGAATCGTGACAAAGGGAAGAAAAATCTCATTGATATCTGTTCCTAAACGCCATACATAATCATCTAACACCCGTGCTATGCTCCCTTGGTCCGGCCAATCACCAGCCGATATACAATCATATACCTCCCCTTTATGAACGCACACTAACAGTACGCTTAAGCCTCCTCTAGATTCTCCAACGCAACGTAACCCTCCTCACGCTTCTTGCCACGAAGTCTTCCAAACGTCTCCTTGGCCCAGCCGACGATGCCGGTGCCGCTCATCCAGCGCAGGCCGCCCTTGTATTCGGCAGAAGCGTCGTCCATCCACTGCGGTCGCTTCCAGAATTTGAGCATGAGACTGCTAATCACTACACTAATGCTGCTGCAGGCCATGGCAAATCCGGCCATCATAGGGTGCATATGCAGGCCCAGCGGGAGGAAGAATCCCATTGCAATGGGTAGACCAATGAGGTTGTAGATGCAAGCCCACAACAAGTTGAGCTTGATACGGAAGAAAATGGTTCGGGTCAGGTTGATGGCAGATGGGATGCTGAGCAGGTCGTCGGGACGCATGAGCACAACGTCTGCAGCCTCCATGGCGACATCCGTTCCACTTGACATGGCGATACCGACGTCGGCGATGGCGAGGGCGGGAGAGTCGTTGATGCCGTCACCAACCATGGCCACGACTTCGCCCTCCTCCTGAAGTCCCTGGATAATGGTCTGCTTCTGGTCGGGGCTGACACCGGCGAAGACGTTCTCGGGAGCAATTCCCACGAGGGCGGCGACGGCCAGGGCGGTAGGTCGTTGATCTCCGGTAACCATGGCTGTCTTGATGCCCATACGGTGCAGCACCGAGATAGCTCCAAGAGCTCCGTCCTTGATTGTGTCCGAAAGGCAAAGGTGACCACTGTACTTGCCGTCAATGGCAACGAAGATGTTGGTGGTGCCAGCAGTGACAGATTTAGCTCGTGTGTTCTTTTCAGACGAGTTGATTTGCTCTGCGGCCTCGATGGCGCTCTTAGGGACCTCGACACCGTTATCTTCAAGGAAGCTCACGTTTCCTGCTAGGACCCTGTAACGAGTCCTATCAGAAGTAGCAGGCTCGACAAGAGCATTGATACCCTTTCCGACAGTAAGCTTGAAATCGTTGACGCTTCCTGGAATGGCACTCTCAAGCTCATAGATTGAGAGTTCCTCTTTTGCTGCTACCAGGATGGCTCTGCCAATAGGATGCTCGCTGCCCATCTCTGCAAGACCAACGGCGGCCCACCAGATCTTCTTCTGCGATTCGCTACTCCATTGGGAAACCAAATCCATCTTGGCAACGCTCATTTTGCCGCGGGTAATTGTGCCGGTCTTGTCCAATACGACTTGTGTGATTTTGGTTGTTTGCTGCAGTGCAGCTCCGCCCTTGATGAGGATGCCATTCTCAGCTCCCACGCCGGTGCCTACCATAACGGCAGTAGGCGTGGCAAGACCAAGAGCGCAAGGGCATGCAAAAACAATCACAGAGATGCACAACTTGACGCACACCATGAGCTTACCACCGCTGTTACCGGACAGGAAAATCATGGGAGGATGGTCCATCCAGTGGCTGAGGATCAACCATCCGATGAACGTCAGGAGACCGAGGAGAAGAATAGTTGGGACGAAGTAGCCTGCCAGAGTGTCGGCCACCTTTTGAATGGGTGCTCTTGTAGTCTGGGCGTCTTGGACAAGCTTGACAATCTGGCTAAGCTGGGTATCACGGCCGGCTCGCGTGACACGGAAGTCCACTCTGCCGTTGCCGTTGACGGTACCTCCGATCAAGTTGTCTCCGATACGTTTCTGCACGGGCATCGCCTCTCCGGTTACCATGCTTTCGTCGACATAGGTTTCCCCCCGGACAAGGATACCGTCTGCCGGGATCTTGTCACCTGGTCGAATGACGACAATATCGCCGACCTGGAGCAATTCCGTGGGGATGTTCCTCTCTTCATGTGCTGAGCCAGTCACATTTCCAGAACGCTGGGCCGCAGTGTCTGTGGATTCCTCGGTTGATTTGGCCCATGATTCGGCTGCCTTCTCTGCAGCAATGGGATCCGCGTAGATGGTTGCCATCGACGGGGCCAGAGACATAAGACGGGACAGTGCCTTTGACGTTTGGCCCTTGGCGCGGTTCTCGAGGTAGCGGCCAAGAGTCACAAAGGTGATGAGCATAGTGCTAGTATCGAAAATCGTACCGGGCTTAGAGTGCGGCGGCAAGACCAAAGAAACCACCATGGCCAAGATGCTGAAGAAGAAGGCGCACGATGTACCGAGCATGACAAGGACATCCATCGTCGGCGAACGGTGCTTGAGTGATTTGTAGGCCGAAACATAGAATCGCCTTCCAACGCCAAACTGAACGGGTATCGTAAGGAGCAGGCAAACCACATCGCCGAGATAGAGTCCAGTACACAGGTGGACATTGTTGATATCTAGGCTTGGTAGAGCCATAGGTATTATCATGTTGAGGATAAATACTGGAACAGCAAACCCAGCGGAGACCTTGAATGCTGTCCTCCATTCGGTAATCTCTCGAGTTTTGGCCAGCGACTCGAGCTGGGCGCTGTTGTCGTGGCTGTCCGCAACCAAGGCATTGAGACCCTGTGCTTCCACTGCTTCGACAATTCCTCGAAGTCCAATGGCGGCAGGTTGATGCGTGACGGAAAGGCGCTCCGTAGCCAGGCTAAGAGAAGCAGACTTGATACCAGGAAGAGCCGTCAGCGAATCCTCGAGGGCCTTTGCAGCGGCAGCATCAGGGCTACCGAAAATCTTGAATTGCGAAGTAGTGATTGCACTGCCTAGGTCGTTAGTATCGTATACGGTGGACAAAACCGTGGCATCAAAACCGCGATCCTCAATGATTTCGGAAATTTGCTCTGGGGAGAGCTTTGTGACGTCGTGAGAGATGACCGCGCGCTCGGCCAGAAGACTAATGTTGAATTTCAACACTCCCTCGACTCCTTGAAAGCCTCCCTCGACAGCAGAAGTACAAGCGCCACATGTCATTCCCTCGATAGCTACAGTTGTAGTAGCGATGGAACTTGATGGGTTCTCGGCCTTGTTACTGCTGTCGGGTTGCGCCTTCGCGGAATCAACTATTTCGGCGCCAAAGCCGCGGTCTTCGATGATTTCGGCAATTTTCTCGGCTGGCAGAAGCTCTGGGTCGTGTTCAATGACGGCTCGCTCAGAAAGAAGTGATATGCTAAAGCTCTTGACTCCTGGAATGTCTTTAAAGCCGCCCTCGACGGCAGAAGTACAGGCACCGCAGGTCATGCCCTCAATGGCGACTGTTGTCGTTAGCAACCCGCTGTCCAGATCCTCATCTCCCTTGACATCCGAAAATCGAGGGACAAGCGGACTGAGCAGGTCCGTAGACAGCACCTCGGCGTCAAATCCAGTATCCTCAATGGTCTCTCGGACTTGCTCAGCGCTGATAAGCTGAGGATCATGCATGACGACGGCGCGCTCCATGACGAGACTGACGGAGACGGTGCCGACGCCCTTGACGCCTTTGAAGCCGCCTTCAACAGCTGACGTGCATGATCCGCACCTGTGAGAACGTAAACATGTCAGCGATGCTTGGGCAAGAGGGATTCGCCCAGTTAGAAGCAGAGCAACCTACGTCATTCCACCAACGCGCAGAGTAGTTGTCGCCATGTGTGCGCTTCTAGGCGCAAGGCCCGCCTCATCGTTATCCCGCCCGGGGACCTTGATGTAGCTTGGAGCCATGGTTCTTCGTCGGTAAGCAGTCTCGAGACCGCCGATTTCCCTCGCAGATAAGAAAAAGAGAAAAACAAAAGCGACCGGCGCGGGAGACGTCAGGTCGCGGCTAACTCCAGATATCCTTCACCTTGAAGCTGCGAGCATTGCACAGGTGAAGAAAGAAGAGATGATAGATTGGACGCCGCCACAGGATGCTTGGAGAGGATAGCCAGAGATGTCTGGCAAAATGCCGTAATTGTTCCAGAGACCGGCCCCGGAGGAAATGAAGCAACACGGCGGTTGTGAGGATTTAATAATTCGGCCGAGCCGGATTTTGTCAGCACGTTCGTCTCGCCGAGCAAGCCGCGCTATGAGCGAGCTCTCCACCAGTAACAGGATTTCGTAGTTTTTGTCTCTGATTCCTAGCCGTGGAAAACGTACGATGCAAGACAAGGGTGGAGAGGCAGAAACACGGCCTATTATAAATTGCGCGACAGTCCCAGAAGAGAAAGAAACAGAAGTTGGGAGAGAGCGGCCGCCACGGCGTAAGCCAAGGGTCCTCGAGATGGGTGGGTGACTCTCTCGCGGTTGGTCGCTCGTTGCAGAATCCAAAGTAGCGCGGTACAGAAGGGGGATAAAATAAGAAATCAATAAGCAGTGGCTCAGGCCCGGCAGCTGCACAGGCCGACAAGGCTCAAGCTAGGCCAGTAGCGAGTGCGTTCAGTGCGTATGAGCGTATTGACAATGTGACCTGGATCCAATTCCGACCAACCAGCGATCGGGATGGAAAAGTATTGAGAATGCAAACGGACGCCAAGGGGAAGGAGAAAAGAAAGCGACGAGTATAGTACAAAGAAACAAAGGACAGGCGAAAACGAAAAAGGAAAATTGAACGAGGAATTATTTGCGTTCGAGAACGACCTGGTCGATGCACCCAGTTATACCACAGATTACTCGGCCAGGCAGCGCAAATAGGAGGGAAGGGGATGCTGTTGGCGCCTCTGCACTTGTCGCACTATGTGTGATGGCGCCTATTGCGAGCCTGAGCCTGTGTTTCAGCGGCCTGGAAATGAATCGCGCTGAATAATTCATCCAATGGTGCCAAGCACAGACGACGAACCCCGGCCTGTCAAAAACGGTGCTGATGAAGGACCAGCGTCATTTCGTTTCAAGCAGCTAGACATCAAACGCATACGAGTATATTCACACGCTCACTGGGTCTAGAGCATCGTCACTGCAAGACATACAGTAATAGTCTCCGAGC